CTCCACATCTTGGAGCATAAAATATTTAAAATTTATCTAAATCTCTCAATCTTGGTGTCATTATGAAGGGCACATGTTCCTCTATCCATTGATGTAAGTTTAATATCCATACTTGCAGTACGTTGGGAAATATCAGCAAAAGAAAGTGCGACTTGTTGTCCAACTGCTTGCTATATTTTGGCACAATTCTGACTTTGCTTCCGCTATACGGGTGCTGTCCCGCTGAGACAAGGCTCCATATGTTCGAGCATAAAATATCTACAAATAATCTATATTTGTCAATCGAGATGTCAATATAAAGGGCACATGTTCCTTTATCCATTGATGTAAGTTTCATATCCATACTTGTAGCACTTCGGGAAATATCAGAAAAAGAAAGTGCGACTTGTTGTCCAACTGCTTGCTATTTTTGCGTAATTCTGACTTTCCTTCCGCTATACGGGTGCTGTCCCACTGAGACAAGGCTCCACATGTTGGAGCATAAAATATTTAAATTTATCTAAATCTCTCAATCTTGGTGTCATTATGAAGGGCACACGTTCTTTTATCCATTGATGTAAGTTGCATATCTATACTTGCAGTACTTCGGGAAATATCAGCAAAAAAATGTTCGACTTGCTGTCCAACTGCTTGCTATTTTGGCGTAATTCTGACTTTCTTTGCGCTATACGGGTGCTGTCCGGCTGAGACAAGGCTCAATATGTTCGAGCATAAAATATCTACAAATAATCTGTATTTGTCAATCGAGGTGTCAATATAAAAGCCACATGTTCCTCTATCCATTGATGTAAGTTTCAAATCCATACTTGTAGTACGTTGGGAAATTTCAGCAAAAGAAAGTGCGACTTGTTGTCCAACTGCTTGCTATTTTTGCGTAATTCTGACTTTCCTTCCGCTATACGGGTGCTGTCCCACTGAAACAAGGCTCCACATGTTCGAGCATAAAATATATACGAATAATCTAAATCTGTCAATCTAGGTGTCATTCTGAAGGGGATATGTTCTTTTATCCATTGATGTAAGTTTCATATCCATACTTACAAGATTTTAAGAAATATCAGAAAAGAAAGTGCTACTTGTTGTCCAACTCCTTGCTATTTTGGCGTAATTCTGACTTTCTTTGCGCTATACGGTTGCTGTCCCGCTGAGACAAGGCTCCACATGCTCGAGCATAAAATATCTACAAATAATCTATATTTGTCAATCGAGGTGGCATTATGAAGGGCACATGTTCCTCTATCCATTGATTTCAGTTTTATATCTCTACTTGCAGTACTTCAAGAAATATCAGCAAAAGAATGTGCGACTTGTTGTCCAACTGCTTGCTATTTTGGCG